GAACACCTCCGTTTCAGCACCGACGCATGCGGCCACGCTTGGTATCAAACGCACATTATGCATTATCCCATACATTTCTATGGCATACTTTACATACGGCGAGAATAGTACCGCCCTCCTCATTATCAATGTAATTCCGCATGCATTCTCAGAGCGAACGTACTTTAGTTTGTTGCAAAAAGCGACAGTGGCACACTTCCTGAGTAGTTGTTGTCTGGCCTGCCTTTGTGGCGGAGAGGAGGGTGTTGCCACTCCCTCCTGCCCGGAGTACAATCACAGGGACTAAACCCTGGAAGTAATGGAGCCCACCCCATTAACTGAAATATGTATCCCTGGGAAACATTCTGTTGTTTGTCGTTTTGGAAGGATTTATTGTCCAACAGTCACTCAGACACTGACTTCTCGCAAGGTATCAACCACACAAAACTTGCACTTTTGAGCAGGCCATGTGCAGAGATGCATGTAGGAAAAACTATGTTGATTTTAACAACCAAAAGCCTCAACCTTGTTCTGGTGGTTGACGTTGGCTCCTGCCTCCAGCAGTCTCTGAACTGCCTCAGTATGTCCCTTCTCGGCAGCTATCCCCAGAGGAACAACACCATCCTGATGAGAGAGAGAAACTGTTAATTGTTGAGTTAAGCATTGGCAGGTCAGTGTGGACCAGACATGTCAGAGTGTGATTTCAGAGGATCAGTGAATGAGACACGACACTAACAAATATACAGACATACAATGCATCAGAACATGGTAGCTATGGCTTTTCATTTTCATAAAAGTGCTGCATTCTCACGATAACCTAGAGAAAAAAGTATGAGTTCCATGTGAAGGGTGAGTATGGGATGTAGCGTTTCCAATAATGTTACACTGTGTACTATACTAGTAGAGTGAGACAACGGGAAACTAGACAATCAGATGGATCAGACACTTACATCAGATGGTTAATAGTTTCGCTACCTAGTTATGGGTCTATTCTGCCTATTTCTAGACTGCACAGAGCTAATCACCTTGTTCTGGTAGTTGATGTTGGCTCCTGCCTCCAACAGTCTCTGAACTGTCTCGGTGTGTCCCTTCTTGGCAGCTATCCCCAGAGGAACAGAACCACTCTGATGAGAGAGAGAGAGAGAGAGAGATAGAGAGAGAGAGAAATTGTGAATTGATGAGTTCAGCATTGTCAGGTCAGTGAGGACCAGACACCTCAGAGTGTGGTTTCAGAGGATCAGGGAATGAGACACGACACTAGCCAATACTCAGACAATACAATGTGTCAGAACACAGGCGTGCAAATGGAGCTATAAGAAAAGAGAAAGAATGCTGCGTTCTCAGGAAAACCAAGAGAAATAGGTGTAAATTCTGCACGAATGGTGACTATGGGATGTAGTAATGTTACAGGATAGGGAAGGAGATGCGACACTAACAAACACACAGGCATGCAATGCATCAGAACATGGTTGCTATGGCTTTTCATTTTTGTAAAAGTGCTGCGTTCTCACGAAAACCTAGAGGAAAAAGTATGAGTTCCATATGAAGGGTGAGTATGGGATGTAGTCTTTCCAATAATACCTAGCTGATATATAGTAGAGTGAGAGAACGGGAAACTAGACCATGACTGTGGGGTCAGACACATACATCTAGAAATGCAAGACTTATTCTCGCAAGCAATCATGCAAATGTAAACTCACTGACAGGTTTAGGTATATACTTTAGTGCCTTTTATCACTAACCTAGAGCATAAAAATTTAGAAGTATATACTTGACAGCTAGTCAGAGCTCTTGGCTACATCACGTCCACCATGGTTGGTGAAAAAATGAGCTGACAACTGTGTATTATACCTTGGTGGTGGCCTTGTGGACATCAGCACCAGCCTGCAGCAGAATGTCCACTACATCAGAGTGTCCATACTCACTGGCAACATAGAGTGGACTGGCACCATTCTGTACAGTGAGAGAGTAGGAAGTGGGGTTTAATTCCAGTCTGATACATGTAATTACGTACCAACAGTGTTTGCTGACATGCATGGCTATATTGTTAGCCGTTGCACTAATTTCAAACAGCTGGAGGGTGCGGAAAGTAAGCTGATGATAAAAGGGGATCACCAGTTAGCTAAGTTGTGACATTCCCTTGACTGGGGTGCATTATTCAGCTCTGACGCTTGTGCAGATACATCCAAGGCCGCCTTGTATGAAACTTTCCACATTTTTAAGGCTATATAGCCTCAGCCTCACTACTCCTTTGACAACCGGACAGCGCTGAGTACACAATCTGTATGAGGCTATATAGAAGTAAATTATTATGGCTCTGGTCTCAACCATTGCACAATAATCCTACAATTGCACACCAACTTTTTTTACACTGTATATGGCTTGAAAGTTTTAGTCCACAGCAATCGACAGGAGTATTTTAGGTCAACAGTTGAGACATGAGAGTGTCCGAAACAACTAGTTTGCAGTTTTACTTGACCAGCTACAGACAGTGTAACAAGTGTACAATACCTTATCACAGATACTGATGTCAGCTCCATTCTCTATCAGCAGTTGAACTACAGCTGTATGACCATTCAAGGAGGCAGACCAGACTGGAGTCTGACCACTCTATAGAGAACATACAACAGAACACTGGACATTGGACATGTTGTGAGATGAGAACAGAAATAATCAGTCCACAATATTAACGTGAATGTTGGGAGTTAACGCCGGGAGTTACACGCAAGCGTGACACGCGACGATTGTATATTTCCGTCCATTTCAAGTTCAGTTGTGTGACAGTAGCTTCCTTGTTTTCATTAACCCTCGGCATGCGTGCGCAGCGATGGTTACAGTACTTGGTTCATAAGTGTGTGTGCCTGTCTGTCTGTCCGTCTGTCTGTCCGTCTGTCTGTTACCACGTTTTCTGCCACCACGCGCAAGAAACCGGACAAAGATCGATAGTAACGGACAGATTCAGTGCTACACTGGCTTGATTTTAAAAAAGGCGATTTTCATAAAACTACTGCGTTCTAAAAGTTATGGCGTGAAAACTAAGTGAACAAGCCAATAGGCTAATTAGCACAGGCTTACCTCGACCGGGTCCGCTTGCTCTGTGTATCTTGAAGGCACAAGAAGTCACAACGAATGGCATGTATCGACTCCCGCATGCTATCTACTACTGTAGCTAGCCCGTGTCAGACTCTCCGCGAGCTATTAGTGGGAGACCACGAGTAAACGCATAATACTATATAAGAGCCCAGCCCATCAATAGTGGTACCACACATGCGCAGTTCATCGAGGGTTTTCACTTATGTAAAAAGCTGGATTCAAAACTAGGCCGACTTGGCTGACCAGTTATGAGCCTATCTCTATAGACTACTGCACGTCAGCTAGGGAACAGGGCTATCCATAACCTTGTTCTGGTGGTTGACGATTGCTCCTGCCTCCAACAGTCTCTGAACTGTCTCAGTATGCCCATTATGGGCAGCTGTCTCCAGAGGAACACTACATGACTCCTACATGGAAAGAGAAGTGGTCAATTGAATGACCACATTAAAAACGACAAATCAACACGTCATGTTGACTGTGAACATTTTTGCCTACTACAAAGCGTTTTATCTAACCACAAGGAGGGTCAAGGACAGGGTGCAGGGTGGAAGAAGCTTTTACGCAAGCAACCTAGATTCCCCAACTAAATTAGTTTTTGTGTTAAAGTGTGATACTGCAAGAGCCTATGATGTATTGGGTTATTTTCATGTGTGCATGTAGCAATATAGCGCTGGAATGAATAGAATTTTTCCACTTTATTCTGCATCAATGAAAAGCACTAAAGTGCAAACCCTCGGCGAACTGCGCATGCTAATTGATGGGCTGGGTTATTAGTATGCGTTTACTCGTGGTTCCCCGCTAGTCGCTCGCAGAGAGTCTGACACGGGCTAGCTACAGTAGTAAGTAGATAGCATGCGAGAGTCGATTCACGCCCTTCGTTGTGACTTATTGTACCTTCAAGATAAACAAGATAAACAGAGCAAGCGGACCCGGTCGAGGTAAGCCTGTTCAAAATATAAGCGCATGTACATTTTCCGCAGCGATAAAAATGGCCGACTACGCGTTAGCCGTACAATGGTGGAAGCGCTCTAGCTTTGCAACAGAGCGTTTTCAGAGAAAACCGTTCGAAATTTATGACCTCATTGCCCGTTAAGTATGTGGTATCCTTTGTGAGACGAAGTGAGATGTACAGTAACACACAGACAGACAGACACACAGAACGACTACCGTAACCCTTGCTGCGCAAGCGCACTGAGGGTTAATTAACCCACAGCAGGCTTACTTTAAGTTGGCAAAGGTGGCATATAAATTACATCATGGGAAAAAATTTGGGCTACCACTTTTGTTTCATGCTGTTGAAGCCAGCAGCAGTCTTTTGCCCTTTTCCAATCCGTAAACTACGTCTGTTGCACTGGAAAAAGACTGATTGATTGGCATGTAGTTGGCCAATGTTATTTCGGACCAGAAGCTGGCATTCGTAGTCGTGTCAAAGAGGTTCATGCTGACTGGTTTATGTGTAGCAGACAGCCAGTCAGTGGGGTGACTAAGGCACTCAGCATAACATCACACTTTATTTTCAGGGATCATATTCGAGCAGGATTTGCAAAACTACCTATTACGTGCACTCATACAAGGCAAGGATGTTGAAAACAGACGTTTTTGAATAAATCAAGTACCGATTATGCGATTTAAGCCATTTCTTAGATACATGCTCTTTGTGACGATACGTGTCAAAAATAACTGATATGCTCACATACTTTGGTCCAAGCCTGATTGACATCAGCTCCGGCTTTCACCAGGACATCCACCACCTCAGAATGTCCCTCTTGACTGGCAACATAGAGTGGACTGGTACCATTCTGTACAGCGAGAGAACTAATGAGACATTCCTGACTCACTAATGACAACTCATCTCCCTCCCAGGACACCAGGAGACCTGACAACCATCTCTGTCAGGTCTCCTCCTCATCCAACCTTCAAAGGTCTATAGTCCACTATGCTAACAGTGATAACCTCACATGAAGTACGGCTAGCTACTCAGTATACAAGTAAATAAAAAATCCTATGCTTTTAAAAAATGAGGCATGTAGCCAGGTATGGCATAAAAAGAGGGGAGACAAGATAGGGATGGGATACATGACGCATGGGTAACGAACATATTTGAGCACACTGACACTCCCAACCCCATCACACCATCCATATATTGTTGCCAAGGCTAAGTCAATACTCAGGACTTATAGCTTTAAAAAGTCATGTCCAAAAACTCCAAATGGAGATTTATTAATGAGAATGTGGTAGTAAGAAATGAAATGTTACTGAACAAAGCACAGCAAAAGATTAATGCAACGGAGAGTAACATTTTAGCCCATAATACTGCCAGATTACCTTTAAGAATGGCACACCAGGCAACAATATAGGGCTTGTGTGAAGGGTCGGGGGTGTCAGCGTGATAAAATCTGTTCATTAACCATGCTTCATGTATCCTATCCTCATCTTGTATCCCTTCTTTTTATATATACGATACCTACATGCCTTTTTTAAATGCACAGGATATAACATGACATGGTCTACAAACCTTGTCGGGAATTAAGACTGAAGCCCCAGCCTCAAGCAACAGACGTACAACCTCAACATGACCTCTGCAAGAGGCTACCAGTAGAGCAGTGTCTCCTTCCTGCAAGTGGTGGGGATACAGAGACCAGTGGAGCAGCAGTCAATGAACTGGCGCAGAAATGAGACTACACATTCACTAGTAGAGAGCCTCACATCCTCAGTCCTGGAGTTGATATTGACAGAAGTGGAGAGGAGTTTCCGAACTGCCTTCACATCTCCTCTCTCAGCAGCATCGTGGAGCTCTGTTCTTCCCTGGGTATAGCGACACAGAAAATATCACACGAGTTCATGGATATAGTAACCTACTTCAAGAAGCTCTGCACTAAGACTCCCACTGTAGACTGCAGTACTCTTCAGTGTGCCCAGACTATGGCAGAGCTGGGCAGCTGTTGGTCTGTCTTTACTCTTGTCTTTGAGGCAGTCTTTAACGACTGGAAGAAAACCACTATCGGCTGGCACTTTGTCGATTTCAGACTTTCGACGTTCCACTTCGGGAATGGGGATATCGATCTCTCCCCAGGCAGAGGTAGGGTCTTCCCTAGTAGTGGAGGCAGCAGTGGGAGCAGGGAACGTTCTGGTGACAATCTGGAGAAGGAGAACTCCAATGGAGAAAGTGTCAATCTTGTCTGAGTAGCGAGGCTGGGGACGAAGGGCCTCTGGTGGCATGTAGACCAGTGTTCCTGGACACTGGGTCACCTTACTGCGGGTCATGGAGGGATTGGAGGCTGCGATCTTGGACATGCCAAAGTCGGTCACCTTGGCCTGGTGGCTGGCACTCAGGAGGACGTTGTTGCTGGACAGGTCTCGATGGAGGATGCCATTTCTGTGCAGGTGAGCCACTGCTAGAGCTATGTCGTGGGAGATGTTCACTTGGACATGGTAGGGTATGTCAGTTGCCGAGCTCTCTAGAAAGTGTGTAAGACTGTCTTTCATCATCTCCATGAGGAGAATGGGCTTGTTGGTGGTGGGGTCTTGGACCACACCCAGGAACTGGACAATGTTTGGATGTTTCAGGTCTCGTAGGATCTGGCACTCCTGCTCAAATCGAGAGATGAAGTCAGGGAGTCCAGGGTCCTGGGAGTCCACGATGACTCGGTGGAGGATTTTAGCAGCACATGGCTTTTTATCCAATGTTGCCTTCACCACATTGCCATAGGCTCCAGAGCCCAGGACCTGGGCTGTGTGGATCACCACATTGTGATAGCCATACAGACCTCTGAGGCTCAGAGATATGTCATTGGGATCCTTGGTCTGGACAGAAAAGCAAACATAAATTGTGAGCCGACCTAGTGGCTGCAACAGCCAGTTGGATTGACATGGCACTCTTTGGCATAAAAAACACTGTAGAATGTGGATGATGAATAAACAGTAAAGCATTGAGATTTTACACATGCTGTTTGCAAAAATGCTTATTCTAGTAATACAGCACTGCAGAATATTGTACAATGGCTACAATGTCAGAAAAGTGCCCACATACGCTGCTACATGTTGAGGTATATACATTAACAATGAAAAAGCACTAAACTGCAAACCCTCAGCGAACTGCGGTACCGCAAATTTTCCTTTCCAGTTTAAAAGGTATATACACAAAATAAAATAAATGAGGAACAGAGAGAAGGAACAAATAGCACAATACAAAAGAGACAAAAGCACAAAAACAAAACAAAAACACAAAAAACTAATTAAATAATGCTGTCAATAGAAGAGGGGCCGGGCCAATAGGGAATCGATGGAGCCAAGGAGCGGCATTCCCACGCCAGAGAGAGACAGAGCAGCACTGGAAGAGGTGATGAGTTGAGTCCGCACGAGAGACCCCTAAATGCTGGCCTAGGAGGCGACCAATTCTGGACAACGAGGTGGTTGTGGCCTCACTCATGCCGTCCAGGGCCATAAAAAGAAAGGGGGATGAAAGAGACCCCCCACAGCGCGGCAAGCGGGGTATGAGCTTTCATCTTTCGATGTTCCTCAACAGAGAGGGCATGGGCAGCAGAGGAAGCAGCTTCCTGAAGGATAAGGGGATGAAGGCAGGAAATGACTGTCACGTCTATAGCAGCAGGTTGACCCCGTTCCTAATTTGGAAGGAGGGTGTCAGCAGGGCGGCTCTGGGATCCAGGGATGAGGGAGGGAACCTCCTTTCGATGAGCGAATGCAGTGGAGTGGGCAGCATATAAAATTGAATCGCATATAGAGTTGTGCCTATAAGGATTCTATCACCATTCCCCCCAGAACCGACCCGATGGTCACCAAAGGGGTCTGCAGCTGAGTGGCAAACTCGCCATTTCACTCCCCCTAACCAATATTGGCAAACCCGGAACTCACGATCTATGAAGTGAAGGCCGAGGGAAGATGAGGGAACAGCGTTCAGCCAATCACCGGCATGGAGGAGAGAGCATGACTGGAAAGAGCCAGAGAACGGGTGTCGGGGGTGGAGGGGATTGGAAAGAGCGAGAGAGAGCCAATGAATGCTGCAGGAGCGTGAAGGAGGGCCTGACCGAGATTAAGACCACCCAAAGAAACAGGCAGTGAATTATGTCGTCGTCGAAATATAGAAGGGGCTGGATACCATAGCAACATTTAAGCCAGGCTGACATGGAGGGGATATGAGACCGAGCCTCAAAAAACATACTTCCGATCTATAGAGTTAAAACCATTGGAAAAGTCAACTAGGAGGAAACAGCAAGAATCAGGAGGAATGGTACTGTTGTAGTGAACTCACCTGAGTTGTGGTTACACATGTGACATTCCATCATCAGCCGCATGATGCTATCACACTTACATAACCTTCTAGAAGTTTCTCCACCACGTGTTTGCCATCTATAAAATGTGTGCCGTGCTGTATGTGATGATCAGTTCTTATGGTCGTGACTTACGACATTTGGTGACCACAACGTGATCGCTAATCTGGCAAAGCACGAGATGTCGTCTAGTGACTCACTTGCTCTGGACACGCCAGCCGCACTCGTTCCCGCCGTAGCCGCCGCCGCCCCCGCACCTCCGCTCGCCGAGCTAGGTACAGCGGGCGATTCCAACTCCTTTCTTCGCAAACTGTTTCTACAACGTCTTCCCGCTAATGTCAGGATGGTGCTCGCCTCTGCCGACGACTCAACGGACCTCCACAAGCTCGCCGACATGGCAGACAAGGTGATGGAGGTGGTTTCACCCACCGTTGCGGCACTCTCCGGTGACCATCCCGACCATCCCGACCGCACAGACGCCTCCGAAATGGAACAACTCAGGGAGAAGGTAGCGCGCCTGGCTGACCTCGTTTCCTCTCTGACCACTCGACCTCGCTGTCGAAATTCATCCCGACCACGCCGTCCTAACAGCTCTGCCCCATCGAGTTTCCTGTCCACGGACTCACCCTGGTCTGAAGTGAGTGTCCTACCCCCTGCTTCTGTCGACCGACGACGACCGGACAAACTCTCGCTTACAGCAGTTAACAACACTCCCATCGCCACGTACGGCAAACGTTCTCTTACCCTCGACCTCGGCCTCCGACGATCGCTGTCTTGGATTTTCATCCTTGCTGAGGTACAGAAGGCCATCCTCGGTGCCGATTTCCTAAGGCACTTTGGGCTTCTGGTTGACATGAAGCATCACCAGCTGGTCGATACAACCACTCAGTCCCACATCCAGGGTATACTTTCTACCGTTCCTTCTCCTAGTCCGTCCATCTCTCCGAAACGCACTAACAACCCCTACTACAGTCTACTGTTGGAGTTCCCAGCCCTCATGCAAAGTCTGCTCTCCAGACACACCTATCGCGCACGACGTCACTCATCACATTCAGACTACAGGCCCCCCAGTCTCAGCCCGTCCCAGACGACTGGCACCTGAGCGTTTTCGTGCAGCAAAACAGGAATTTGAGCACATGCTACAACTGGGGATTATACGTCCTTCATCCAGTGCATGGTCCTCTCTGCTGCACATGATGCCGAAAAAGACTGCTGGTGACTGGCGGCCGTGTGGGGATTACCGGGCCTTGAACCAAGTGACGGTGCCTGATCGTTACCCCGTCCCCCACATTCACGACTTCTCCTCGTCCCTGCAAGGTGCCAGCATTTTCTCCAAATTGGACCTCGCACGTGCGTATCATCAGATCCCGGTAGACGCCGCAGACGTCCCCAAGACCGCTGTCACAACCCCATTCGGCCTATTCGAGTTCGTGCGGATGCCTGAGGAACGCAGCTCAAACGTTTCAGCGGTTTATGGACCAGGTTCTCCGGGGCCTCCTTTTTGCTTACGCATATATCGATGATGTCCTCGTCGCCAGCGCCACTCCCGAAGAGCACCTCAGACACCTACGAATAGTTTTCGACCGTTTCGCCACGTATGACGTCAGCATCAACCCCAACAAGTGCCTCCTCGGGGTCGCCAAACTGGATTTTCTCGGACATCACATCGAGCAACGCGGCATCGCTCCCCTGCCAGAGAAAGTGAGGGTCATACGAGATTTTCCACAGCCCCAATCGCAACGCCAATTGCGTCAGTTCGTCGGCCTGGTAAAATTTTTACCATCGTTTTCTTTCCCGCTGTGCTGATCTGATGCGACCCCTACATGCGCTTCTTACCTCATCGACACCGAAGTCCCAGACACTGCTCTGGACAGCCACAGCCCTAGCCGCCTTCACCGCTACGAAGGAGGCCTTAGCGCATGCGTCTCTCCTCGCCTACCCCACAGCTGACGCCCCCACATGTCTCATGACTGACGCATCCGACACCGCCGTGGGAGCAGTCTTTCAACAGTACGTCGACGGCATGTGGTATCCCATTTCTTTCTTTTCCAAGAAGATGACACCGGCAGAGACACGTTACAGTACCTTTGATAGGGAACTACTAGCTGTGTACCTCGCGATCCGACACTTCCGCCACCTGCTAGAAGGCCGACACTTTCATGTGCTTACCGACCACAAGCCTCTGACGTACGCACTCAATACTCGCTCCGATCGACATTCTCCTCGTCAGGCGCGTCAGCTGGACTACATTTTCCAATTCACCTCCACCATCCGCCACATACACGGGTCGGACAACGTGGTGGCTGACACGCTCTCACGCATTGAGACCAACTCTTTGGTATCCGGCACGGCACCGGTCATTGAGTATGCCGCAATGGCCAAGTCACAAGCGACCGACCCACAGATCCAGGCACTCCAGTCCTCCCCGTCATTCCCTCTAGTTGTGGAGCCTATTCCCCTGCCGAATGCGGGCGACCCACTCTACTGCGACGTCTCCACTGGCACACAACGCCCCCTGGTCCCCCGGGAATGGCGACTCACGGTGTTAAATTCTCTGCACAGCCTCTCACACCCAGGAATCCGAGCAACACAGAAGCTCATCACGGCCTGGTTTGTGTGGCCTGGTGTCAATGCCGATGTCCGCCGATGGACACGAGCCTGTGTACAGTGCCAGCGCGCGAAGATACAGAGGCACTCTGTCGTCCCACTCTCTTCCTTCCCCATTCCTGATGCCCGATTCTACGTCGTCCACATCGATCTGGTCGGACCACTCCCGCCGTCACGGGGGTTCACTTACCTGCTGACCTGTGTTGATCGGTTCACCAGGTGGCCAGAAGCAGTTCCCATCACTACAATCACAGCAGAAGCAGCAGCACCAAACCTTGAGTCTACGGCCATCGCACCATATGTCACCACTCGCTCAGGACGACGAGTCCATTTCCCTCAATACTTCACCTCGTAAGCCACTGGGGGGGAGAGTGGTGTAGTGAACTCACCTGAGTTGTGGTTACACATGTGACATTCCATCATCAGCCGCATGATGCTATCACACTTACATAACCTTCTAGAAGTTTCTCCGCCACGTGTTTGCCATCTATAAAATGTGTGCCGTGCTGTATGTGATGATCAGTTCTTATGGTCGTGACTTACGACACTGTCATTGATGAAACTAACCACAGAACGAACGACTGCCTCACAGCCACCAGTGACCGCCACTCCAACTTGGAGGGGGAAAATAATATTGATGGTATCGTCTCGGACTGCCCGAGAAACACACTTGGATGTCAAACAACGAAGAACCTCCCCAACAGCAATAGGATGAAGACCACCCCCTTTCTTTTGGCAGGCCAGGAGTGTGGCCCCACAAAGATGAGGGAGGATGGACGGGGCAACGCGACCTCTACAGAGTAGGTTAACAACTCCCACCAAGCCTTGTAGAACAAAACAGGAGCAGTCAGGAGAAGGACAGAACACAGCCTCCTTTAGGTGAGAAGCCCTGAGACAGGAGGGACCAGGGGCTGAACCACTTGGGAAAGATCGAATGGCCTTAGTGACATCTAGGCCGGAGACCTGGACTGTGGGTGGAGGCAGAGATGGAAAATAGGAGGGAGGAAGGGTATGAGGGTGCTTGGAATGCATCAAATTCAGAGCATCAACCGAGGAGGAAGAAAAACATGCAGAAGGGAGAGATTGAATGGCTTTCCTGAATTTCCCCTCTTCGACAGCCCAATGAGCACGACCATTGTTAACAGACCTGATTGATTCCTGAAAAGCAGGGTTTGACCGGAACTTCTTTAGATGCCGGAGAAGCCGCTAATTCTCCTCCCTGACCTCGCACCAGAAACCAACCTTCCAGACCTCCACTTGGCGATACGTGCTTGGACCAGTCCTAAAGAATAACGCCAATGTGAATGACCACCTCAATAGGAAGAATTTCATCCAAGAACCTTCATCAGGGTGTCCGAACAGATGTTATGGCAGACATCACAGACAAGACCAGCCCACGCGTCCCTAGCTCCCTTTGGAACATGGCGGAGGGTATAGACATGCAGACTAAAGATGGCGTCCAGAGAAGGAGGAGATGAGGTGGAGGGATCCTCATGAGAATGGGGAGGAGAAGGAGCCGGGCGGAAAGGGACCAGCGGAGGAGAGGGAGAGGCCAGAGTGGAGGCCAGAGTGGAGGCCAGAGCGGGGGAAGGGCACGAAGGTGGCGCGGCGGCAATGGCTGAAAGAGACACTGGAGCAGACACTGCACCAGAAGAGGAGACGGGAACTGAAGCAGGGACAGAGGCATGGACAGGATTTATGCACCGACCAAGCTGACCGTAAAAACAGCCGGAGCAGGGGCAGCCTTGTTTGACGCAAGAGCGGCTCTTCCATCTCCCTGTGCAGTTGCAGTGACAGCACCCCATCCGACTTCTGGCTGACGAGGTACTGCTAATTGATGGGCTGGCGTTTACTCGTGGTCTCCAGCTAGTAGCTCGCGGAGAGTCTGACACGGGCTGCTGCAGTAGTAGATAGCATGCGGGAGTCAATGCAGGCCCTTTGTTGTGACTTCTTGTGACACAGAGCAAGCGGACCCGCTTGAGGTATATAATTAACACTCGACACGCATTAGCAGTGAGGGTTACTGTCTGTCAGTCAGTCAGTCAATCAGTCAGTGCGGGAGTTACGGCATGAAACACGAGCGAAAAAGCCAACATGCTAATTAGAACAGGCTTACCTCGAGTGGGTCCGCTCGCTCTGTGTATCCTGAAGGCACAAGAACTCGCAACGAAGGGCGTGTGTCGACTCCTGCATGCTATCTACTCCTGTAGCTAGCCCGTGTCAGACTCTCCACGAGCTACTAGCGGGACCGCGAGTAAACGCAAACTAATAGTCCAGCCCATCAATTAGCGGTACCATGCAAGCACAGTTCGCCAAGGGTTTGTACTTTAGCGCCTATTATTATGAGCCTCAGTAACAACGTTAAATCAGGTGGGGTGAATGACATTACGGAATAAAATGAAAAGCACTAAAGTGCAAAACCCTCGGCGGCATGGTAAATACCACGCATGTGGATTGGGCTATGTGTATGCGTTAATCACCATAGCTTAGTCTAGCAATAATATTATTTGTCACAATCAGAGTGTGTGACTCTAGGCCAATGAACATGTTTAGAAGACCTAGACTGGCTATATAAAGCAGGCCTGAACTGAGAAAAAACAGTGAACATGTCCCAAAGCCTAGGAACATGAAAATCGAAGAATGACAGAAACCATAATCATCTATCACATCACAACCATGATCACGCGGAAATCAGACAAATCATACAACAATATGGTTCCAGGACTAAGAATAATACCATCACAAATGAACGGCTCAAGTATCAGAAGTATCCTGAAAAGTCGGAGATACTGATTAAGAAAGTTAGTACTGTTAATTGATGGGCTGGGCTATTAGTTGTATGCGTTTACGCTAGTAGCACGTAGAGAGTCTGACACGGGCTAGCTACACTAATACAGGAGTCGATACAGGCCATTAGTTGTGACTTCTTTAGCCTCCAAGGTAAAAACAGAGCGAGCAAATTAGGTCGCAGTAAGCCAAGTGCGATTATGCATTGGCTTTTTCCCTTGTTTTCACGGCATATCTCTCGAACGCAGTTGTTTCAGGAAAATCGCCTAAATCTTTTAAAGGTTTGTATAGTTCTGAAGACGTTGGTATCGCTCATGGGCCGCTTGTACCCTTTAAGTGTGAGAATAGCTGCTGACAGACAGACAGACAGACAGACAGACAAAGAGACAGACAGACACACACACACACCAAGTATAACCCTCACTGTGCATGCGCGCCAAGGGTTAATGAAAAGCACTACAGTGCAAACCCTCTGCGAACTGCGCATGCGTGGTAACGGTAATGAATGGGCTGGGCTATTAGTATCCGTTTACTCGTTGTGCTCTCTGGCAAGTAGATGAGGAGAGTCTGACACTGCTCTGGACAGCTGTTTCGGGCTTGTTGGCCCTCATCAGCAGAGCATACCACAACTTCTCTCTCTGGCATCACGAGTTTATAAAGGCTGACATGAGCGCAGCACTTGTGGTTCAGAACTAATGACATTCATCCACACAAGGCTTTGCCACTGGTATGTGCTGCTGACCATGCCCAGACATTCGTGGTTTGGAGCCTAGGCTCCTCACCACTCCTGCTGGTCAAGGTCAGCACCGAGCCAAAACCCGAATTCAAAATACTGGCATAGTGGCATGCGTGAGTCGATACCAAATTTGCAAATAATGCGCATGTGCATTCAGCGACAAACAATGGGTGATACGCATTAGCTGTACAATGCTGGAAGGGCTCTAGCTTTGCAACGGAGCATTTTCATATAAAACCGCTTGAAAATTCTGACCTTCATTGCCCGTTAAGTAAGTCGTATCGTTTGTGAGACAAATGAACATTGGAGAAGTGAGATGTAGAGTACAGGCAGACACACTACCTTGCCCTCGCTGCGCATGCGCGCTGAGGGTAAAATAACCATGTGAGTGCCAACACAAGTGTCAAAAGAAAAGTTACCTCCTGTGGAAACCCGACTGAAAAGACAGTAACTAGCTAAGCTTACCAATCGTAGCAATGTACATACCTCAGATATACCTGCGCCTACTACTTCGCTAGCTAGCTAGCTATGCACCTTTCATCAACATGCATGGTTAGCTAAGAGAGTTACACTGCCCACAGATCTGAAGCGCAGAAATCCTTTACCTTCTGTTTTGAGCTTTCAGCTCCCATGGTAAGTCCTCCGTAATGGTCTTGTACACTGGGTTTTGTAGGCCACGTCCGCGCGGCCGATAGAAGGGGGGGCAGCAATTATGAGCACCCCGCGCGCGCATGCGTGTACAACCCTTCGCGAATAAGCTCTGCAGAAACCGGCAAAGGGTAGTCCTGTCAACGGGTGCATGGATCATTTGTATGCAAGAATCACTCATCCCTCCTCCTCAAGTTGCTTTTATACCATCCCTTTCAAGCTAGTGTTGCATGAGGATGCTACTATACTAGCTATTACCTTTCTCTTTCTGTCTTGCCATGTTTACAGATCATCCTACTGACTTCTCAGCAGATGTCACACAAGTAGTTAACGTAACCTTCAATAGCACCACAAAGCAAGACACACTGCATGGTAACTGCAGACAAAGACACGAACTAAAAAGGACCCTATGTTAGTATACAGTCCAAGTGACTTGATTTTGTGGCCACGACTGGCAATGTCTTTGGAGGGGGAGGTGAGGAGAGGACAGCCATGGAGGATGAGGATGGAGAGAGAGGGACAGTGGGAGAGGAGACACAGGACTCCGTCATCTCTCACCCTCTCCCAGTGACTCATGTCCAACTCCTGTTCAGTCAAGTGTATATAAGGCTTTTCAGTAACAAACACATACTATGTTAACAGAGAAAGAGATGATTGTAGCTGTGTCAACAAAAAGGTTTAAAGGCAAAGGCAGCATAATTGCCAGTTTACTTGTAACCTACCTTTAGAACCTTGGCACAGACCCCTTTAGCCAAGGCAGTAAGACCAACTGAAGACACCTGTAAAAAAATTGTGTTTTTCCGAAACAGTGAAAGTGTGGCTTATTATAAAAAGCCACTCAGTTGTGATAGTACCCAGCCACACACATAGCATTACTCATAAGAAGTGAGTATACTGTGTGTATGCGAGGCCTTTATACAGTACAGTAGTATAAGGAGAGAGATACCTGTGTGTAAGAGAGGCCTAGTGCCTGGAGGTATGACAGTCTTGAGGCTATGGCCAGGAGACTGGTGTCAGAGACGAGAGAGCAGCCGGACAGAGTGAGGGAGGTCAGGTAGGGGGAGGAGGAGAGAGTGGTGTCATCCAGGAGGGAGCAGGACTGGAAGTTGAGGGAGAAGAGGGACGGCAAGTGAGACAGCAACTGTGCCAGAGCTGAGGGGGCGGGAAATAGCAAAATATTTGAAGAAGCGTCTTTGTTCAGTCAAGAACGAGGTGAAGGCAATAGGCAAAGCAACAACACTGGTCCAAAATACCAATTTCCTATACGAAAGCAGTGTAGGATTAGTGTAGTACAGGCAGAACCTAAATATCCTGGTAGGATAGGTGACAGATTGGTGTTGTTCACGCAGGACCTAAATTTCCCCTACCAAGGATTGGTGTGGTTCATGCAGGACCTAAATTTCCTCTACCAGGATTGGTGTGGTTCATGCAGGACCTAAATATATTCTACCAAGGATTGGTGTGGTTCACACAGGACCTGACGTGTGTTGAGTTCATGCAAGGCCTCTACACTGCTTGAAGTATGACGGTTTACTAAGTTCATAACAGCAGTAAATGCTGTGACACACTGAGGATATACTGCCAGTTTACCACTATCCAGTTTCCTTAACCTAAACTGTCCAGTAAATGTTCGGTATACTATACTTGTAGTCTACTGTAGATATACATGGATGTAAATACACAGTAGAACAATGCCTACAGTAAAACATTCTGAAATGATGTCATGATAAATGCAACAGTCACACACATCACACACTACATAATATATTGTCAGCATTGTGAGATGTTCCCATAGCCGATCTAATGAGACATCACTTGCTTTAACACAACATCATGTATTTCAAATCTTCTTGTTTTTCGTTGTCTCTTCTGTCTTTTGCGCTTCTTTCTCTTCATCTCCATGCTTGGTCGTCCCATTTATACTCAAAAACATGTAATAGAGGATATATAGCACAATGAGCAACAAAGCACAAGAGTAAAATAATTATTGTGAATACTACAACCATACAGCCACAAAGCCCAACATATCAGACTGACAGCCGTACGGCCACAAAGCCCAACATATCAGACTGACAACCGCACGGCCACAAAGCCCAACATCAGACTGACAGCCGCACGGCCACAAAGCCCAACATATCAGACTGACAGCCGCACGGCCACAAAGCCCAACATATCAGGCTGACAGCCGCACGGCCACAAAGCCCAACATATCAGACTGACAGCCGCACGGCCACAAAGCCCAACATATCAGGCTGACAGCCGCACGGCCACAAAGCCCAACATATCAGACTGACAACCGCACGGCCACAAAGCCCAACATCAGACTGACAGCCGCACGGCCACAAAGCCCAACATATCAGACTGACAGCCGCAGGGCCACAAAGCCCAACATATCAGACTGACAGGAGGTTGTTGTAGTGTGCCAACTAGCACGTTCCTGAAAAACGAAGCATTCAAGCTAGTGCATCCTCTTCGTTTACAAGGTTAGACTAACTCACAACAACATGCACATACCACCATGACATACCTTGCATAGTAAAGACGCTTGTGAAAGGTTTTAGTCGATACTTCCTCCTTGCAGTGGGGGCAGAATCTTCTGTTACGCCGAGGAATTGACTGAACAGCGCATTCACTAGCTGGTCTCTAACACCGGATCCGTATCAGACAGGCTTCTAAATCTCTTTCTACGACCCCCTGCTTCAGGGTCACTTGTCGTCGCCATTTTTAGTGGGCGGGGGGGGTTAAAGCAGAAATCACATGGAATGCACGCGGATATTTTGCGCGGGATTTCTCGAGAGGAGCTATGGCCAAGACACTCTAGACGATCCAGCTACTGAATTTGAAAGTGCCCCGGATGATTCTCTCTCAGACTCAGCACCTGAGAGTGATGACCTAGGAAGCCTCGAGTCAGAAGGGGAGAGCGACAGAGAGAATCATGGAAGCGATCGTCTACCACCCGGCAAGTTCACAGCGAACACGGTAGCACGAGTGTGCACTAACGCTAAATCTCATTGCCTTAAAAGAAAGGAGCCTAGTTCTAACGGGTCTTTGCCTAAGCGTATACGCCAGGAGAGAGGCCTATCATCGGCTGACAGCGCTGGTGCTTCGGATCAGCTGCCTTATGAGGAAGAGGTCAAAAGTGCCTTTTAATTAAAAGAGATAACGTCTATTCTGAACACTGTAGTACAGCGAGTAGAAAGGGTAGAGAATGAGCTTCAGCGTCAGAAGAGTACAGACCCTACACGAACTAAACCACCCCTTGCTGTTAAGGTAAGTCTTTGCTGCACCCTCGATTAGTGCTTACAAGCCTTTGATTTCTGTATAGTCTGAAGTCAGAAGGGTGTATCGGGATCTTGTAGAGAGCGATGAGCGTGATTTTACTGGATTCGATCTGGGAAATGGGTAATACTACCTGGCTGTATCACTTAATTATATTTAATACTTTCTTTTTACAGGGTGGCGTTTAATAGCCCGGTGAATGCTGCAGTTGTTACACGACTGGTAAAGGAGGTGCAAACACTTAACCCCAGGTATCAAGCCCACACAATTAAAGGCAAGTGTACAGATGTTTTTGTTAACCGTGAGATTAATTTTGTATGCAGCTGCTGTTTACACTTACTACCGTTCACTGTCACAAGAAAACCGGTTGAAACTCTCTGGGAAGCACAGTGACCACAAACAAGCTAGATGCCGACGAGAGAGACTATTGAGGGTATAATCTGCATGAGCCACGCCACATGTCATAATTATATTATTATCCTTATAGCCTGGTTCCAAGTGTTGCCTTTGATCTTTTGAAGTGTCTATTCAAGCTAGATCACCCACAGTGCATGTATCTGATACATGCACTCACCACAAGCCATTGCATTGTTTAGCACAGCTGCTGTCTGAACAATGCAAACACCTGGATCACAACCACTCAAAACACCGCATTGTCGTGATCTGGTGCGTTATTATACGCACCCTCAACCCTCATGCGCTATGTGCACTCTGGCTTCGTGCATGTGTACCAGCCAGATCCCTCAATGGAGTGTTTTAACATATAAACTGCATGCATTGCGTTTGTGATCATCTACTATATACCCAATGAGCTTTGCATGACTCCTGCATGTGAGTATTCACATATTTGGGAGCCTTTGGTATGCCAGTACACACATAACTTAAGCCACTTTTCCCCTGCTAATTCAATTCTTAATCCAAATAATTATAGCTGCACCCTAACCGGTGGAGTACGATTGATTCCATTTTACACAGAAACTACAAGAGTGGCGATCAACCCTAACGAAGTCTGCTATGTCACAGAAAGAGAAGGAGAAGTGGGGGAAAGTTTTTGTGCCGGAAATGATGAGCAGTGAGGAAAGTGACATCGAGAATGATGACATGATCACAGTGAAGCCAATTCGTTGGCGTACAGAGAGAGTCCGTACATTCCTACATCGGTTGGATAGCAAAGTGAATACAGCAAAGTCTACCCAGTCCAAGCGGCAGCCAGCGAATTGAATCAAGTGAATACTCCAATCGGGTGAAGCCAGCTACTCTTCCAGACTGGGCTATAGCCAATTAACATTTAGACATTAAACTGTTCATTGTTGAGTATGTTTTGAGTTGAAATTTGATGCAGGAGAGCGCGCAATCCAGCAGTATAATTGCTCGAATGTCCATAAAGCAATCCAGCAGTAGGATTGCTCAAATGCCAATACAACAGTAGGATTGCTCAAATGTCCATGAAGCAATCCAGCAGTAGGATTGCTCAAATGTCCATACAACAATCCAACAGTAGATAGTTCATACGGTCCTGCAACGTTTACTACACCTATCCTGCATTAGAAATAAGGCTCTATCCTCTGATGGAAATTTTTACGGAAATACCAACAATCCTACACTGCAGATTTGTGAACAACTGATCATATTTACACCAAATACTTTACACCAATCCTACAAGTGGACACACCGGGTTTTGCCCAGTGCAAGTCAGCTACACCCAGGGCAGCTCTATTTAATATGGCATGGTGTAGCTAGCATAAATATGGTAGTAAGAGAACAACTGTGTAGTAAATGGAGATAGCCCAAATACACTTGCTGTCCTTACTCTACCAAGAGTATGGAAGGGAATCTATGTACTATATAGTTCCCAGTATAACAAGTGGAAAAATCACTTCTCAGAAATTGAAAGTGGGGGATGTAGGTGTGTCATAATAAAGGAGGAAGACGCCTACACTGAGACAGAGTGTCATTCATAACCATCAGGTAGTTATCAGTATAATGAGACCTGTGGTTGATAGTGAGTCACGAGTGCCTCTCCTGACTCCAATGTCTAGTCTCTTGAGGCGAAGACACAGTCTCCAGACCAGCCCCACCTCCTCTTGTCTCAGTTGACACTCACTGAGGTCCAGACTGTACATCCCTTCATGCAGAACCTATATTCCAACCAGTTCTAAATACTCTCTTCAAAATAGCAGTGTACAATTTAACCGTTCTTTTTCTAATTAACACAGCACTCTTATAAAGTGCCAAACTAAGCGCACAAATGTTTTTCAGTTTAAAATTTATTACAAAACACTGCTCTATTAGTATGCCAAAGTTGCGCAATGATTTGTTCTAAAAGTGTGCCATTTACACTGTTTGAAAGCTGCTATAGGCCTATTTGGGAGAGGACAAATTATGAGTTCTTCGTGTGTGGGTAATAGCTAAGCTCTTTCAGCTCACTGGCTCGTAATTGTGTGTGTAATAATCTCCCAGTACCAGAGGCATGTTTCTGGCACACAGGAGTCCTCGTCTCACCATCACCTTCCCCAACTGAGTCCGCACGGTGCCAGGGAGATAGGGGAATTCCCTCTCGTGGAGTGTGACGTCATTCACTACCACTTGTAGGGCAGATTATGAACAGGCTGGACACTGACATGCCTCTAGTTGGCGGCCTAAAAAACGCACATGTAAGGAGTATCTAAAAGACTTTGGAAAAGTGGAGCCAATAAAACTCAGCCTGCAATAAGAATAAATACCAAAATTATACTCACAATCCCTGCGCAATCGTAACAATATTATTGATCATAACGATGTGAAAATAATTGGACTAATGTACTGCTACAAAACAGTAAAAAAATCGTGTCAGAGTGTTTTTACTCATTGTCATAATTATATAGCAAGCAGGGTTATTCTTCCTGATCTCCGCAAAACGTTTCCTAATGTCTGCCTTCATCTCCTTTGCTGCCAGCTCCTTTTGAATCCCCAGTAATCCGGCCATTGACAAACTCTCAATGTCCTGGGAGCTGACCTGCCCAGCCTTCTGCCACATGTCTAACAGTTCCAGACAAACTTCCTCTGGCATTTTCCCACTCTTTCTGTAGCTCTCCAACACCTCCTGCTTTACGCCAAAGTTCTTCCCCAGTTCGAGACATGTGTTCATAAAACGAAGTCATTGTGTATCAATCGTTGTAGGCAACAAAAATAATTACAGTGGAACCTACAAACAAAACACACTATATACGAGGCCAATAATTTTGTCCCTTGTAGAGAGGTTGTCTCTATCTCAGAGATCGAATACAGTAATACACTAAAAGTATTAGCATGCGGAACAAGTGTCCCTTGTAGAAAAATCGTCCCAATCTCAGAGAGTCCCTTATTGTATTATTGTATTGTATTACTGTATTATACCTACTCTGTCCATTCTCTTGACTGATGTGTGCGAAGTATAATTATTCCAATTGCTATGGCTGCTATGCCGACTCCAATAGTCCAGTATAATGTATGTGATCCACAGATTCTAGTTGTATGTCTTTTCCACACAGGTACTGTTTCTGGATTCTCTGTATTGACAATTAGTTATATTACCAGAAAACATATCTGTGAAGGATCGCGAGAGGTTTTTGTGCGCATCGCTGCGACAATCGACATGGAGAGCTTTCTCAAGACCTCATCATAGTTCACACACCAGTCATTCGATGATCACTAGCTACAGCCTAGCTCTTTTATACAAAAACATGACAGGATGAACGTGGGAAGTGACAGACTACACTTTACCCAGAAAGAGGAAGGGAGGGTTGGAGTGATACAAAACAGGGAAATGATGTAAGACCCACAAACATGAAATCAGAGAGACTGTGGAGACATCCAGTCTCTCACAATATCATCACTAAAATCATGGGAAACAACAAATTGCTGTGACTATTCTTAGCCAGCCCCACCCACATACCATAACTGTGAAGAATTCTGTTGCCGAGATCTTCCGTAGACGCCTCTCTCATTAGCATTTCAACAAACTTGTGAAACTTCTGCTGCCGCGTTTCCTGGGGCGTAGACTCGGAGATTTAGGTCAGGAGTGACTCGAGCTGCCCCGCCTTCTAGGAGGCGGATACCCCGAGTAGACCCAGGATGCCACTGGCGTTGGATGACCGTATGAAGCCTGCCTGCACGAACATGCGCTTGAAGTAGTCCAAGTCGTGCGACATGGCCCCGACAATATCATCGTGGTTCCGCTACAAGGCGTAGATCTCGGGAACCTCAGCCATGCTTTGTTGTTGTGCTTGTACACACCCATTTGGCGCATTTCACGGATGTTGCCGGAACTTAAAACCCGAGGTTTCCCCCTTATTCAACAATCAGCATATCAGCAGGGCATATCTTGCGAGGATGCCGCCTTTGCAGTGTTTGAATCGCTTAGCCATCTTACGCGAAACGGGAACACTGTTTTGCAGACCTTTTATGATCTAGAGAAGGCATTTGATAGCGTGGAGTACGCCATCCTCCTGAAGCATCTCTATTCTAGAGGGGTACACGGGAAATGCTGGAGGATCATAAAAGGCTACTACGACCGACCCACGGCCTGTGTAAAAGTGAATGGTTACCTCTCACATGAGTTCATTACAGAACGTGGGGTGAAACAAGGTTCGGTTCTCTCCCCCTGCCTCTTCCTGCTGCTGATGGATGGCTTGCTGCAACGACGGAAAGAGGCTAAGGCAGGGGTGAGCGTGGAGGGCATTTATATGGGCTCCCTTGCTCATGCCAATGATCTTCGTAGCCTGACATGTGACCCTCAGTCCAGCAGGTAGCAGGCACAGATCATCAATGAATTTCTGGCTGAGAATTTTCTGCAGCTGCATGAACGCCAATAAATGCGAGCTGGTGTACAATCAAATTCCATCTCCGTAGATGTCGGTCATGTGTCCTTGAAACCGTCGAAAGCTGCCAAGTGCCTGGGGATCTGGTGGACCCCGGATCTTTCCCCAGCAAAGGCCATTACAGAAAACATCAATAGTGCTCGCAGAGCATTTTTCTCTTTTGGATGTATTGGGGTCTTTCATGGTCATCTGAATCCACTATCATCTCATTCAGTCGTTGAAACGTGTGTTATGCCAGTGCTGCTGTTTGGGTCTGAGAGTTGGTACGTTACAGACGCTCTCTTGGAGGAATTAGAACAATTCCAGTGCTGGGTTAGGAGGAGAATCTTGTGATTAACTCGCTTTCATTCAAACATATCTGTACTGATCGGCCTGGACTGGCCAAGTATGAGGGCCAAGTTGCTCATCAGGAAACTGAATTTTATGAGAAAGCTGGTCGGGGAAGGGGAGGCAAAGTTAAGTACAGAAATACTTCACGCCTTTGCCAGCAAAGATGTCTCACAGCTGACAATCACCAAACAATGTCGTTATCTTGAAACCGTTTATGAGACCAACTTCACCGGTGAAGTATTGTACGGCTTTGTACGCGCTTCTTTCATTTTCGCACCCGGTGCCTCGCGATATGCGCCGATCGATCTAGCTAGCTAGAGAACTCTCCTGCATTCGACGGCATGCGCTGCAACCTTCGTTGGCTGACCGAGGCTGTACCTCTTCCCAATCTTCATGGTTCGAAGGTGCAACTTCCTAATAAGCTATAGGCTTGCTCGTGCAGATACTGCTGCATGCCTGCGGCCTGATGGACCACGACTGACGGGTTGAAAGCGTAAGGTAAGTATATACCGTTCTGCTCACCTGCTCACCGTTCTGCCAATGTACAATACGCATGTAACGGCGACAGGTACATCTGTCTTGCTTCACGAATGGAAAGCTGTGCACTGACGGCACGTTATGCAGCCCTAACATCGCGGGCTAATCCCAACTTGGGTCGCTCCCGCTCGCCAACAATGTTCAACTTTTCCACTAATAGGAACTTGGTGCACTTGAACGGGTTGAAGCAGATGGTTGTAAGGTTAGAATGTCAGGAGGAAGGTATATAGGAGTGGTGAGTATGAAAATGATGTAATGTAGACACCCTTAGGTACTCTCGGCGGCTGGCCAATGTTGGGATTTTGAACAAATCCAGCAATTCCTCATAACTAGCAGACCATCTTCCAGAGGTGATACATAGAGCATATTTCTGTAAATTTTTTGTTTGTTCTTGAGCATGTATAGATCCCATACTTGGCAGGCATATTCCAGAATTGGTCGAACGAGTGATGTAAAGAGATTGCATAGGAAGAACGGTTGAACATTTGTGTAAAGAATGCGGTAAAGGTAACCCAGCAACCTCTTTGCTCTCAGACATTGTTGCTCAATGTGTTCGTCCCGTTTAAGAGTTTATCACATTATAGAGAGTCTACACATTCTCTGTTTTTTCAGAGGGCGACAGTTAGAGAGTCACATACTGTGTGGTATGTTTGTGCACATGTATAATTGGCGAGCTGGAGTGAGCCAACCTAGTGGTCCAAACGGCACCATTTTTCTAGATATTTATGTCCGTACGTCAGGCTACTGCGAATGTGCCGAATTACGCCCTTATTTTTATCCGAAAGGGTTTCAAAATTTTTTCACGCTTTCTCTAGCCAGCGAGAGAACTCGCGTCCATTCGACAGCATTCCCTGTGCTCCTCGATGCCTGACCGAGGTTGTATATTTTCCAAATCTTCATGGTTCTATGGTTCAAGTTGTAAATAGGCTAGGATGGCTCATGCATATACAATCATTGTGTACTAGGTCCCGCTCGCCAAAAATGCATCTACTAGTAATTATTATACAGAATTGACAATTTTACATTCCCATATAGGCATTGGTATGATAGTAACAATATCAACTTCCCCTCCTCTCCCACATGACCTGTGTGTGTGCAGCTGGTCGAGGCTACCTCGAGGACAGATGGCCGCCCAGTAACAGTGATCCCTACCTGGTGTGTGAGGCTCTGGTCCGTACTGCAGTCCTGGATGACTGGACTGACTTTGACTGGACTAACATGCCCTCTAAACCTTGACTGACTTTGTCTCTACTAGCTACCACTGATTGTATACCAACTGAAATCTCTGGTTTACTTTTCACTATTAGTTTTAGCTATATGCCTTCACATCGTTGCAGTGGCAAGTAGATAATTGCATGAGCCTTTAGAACACTGTCCTGAGTGTATGTTGCCAAATTGACAGGGCCTTAGAAATGGTAGTTATGGGGGAAGAGGGATGGAGAGAAGAGAGGGTGGAATTGCAGCAATCTCGTGAAAGAGACACTCGGCAACAGTATATATCAACTCCTGCAAATCGTCTTAGTGCTGCTAAGTCACATCAGTAGGGTATTATTGCCATAACATCAACGGCCTGCATCCGATAATCTCGAAAGTATATACACAATGTTGGAAACAGACCCTCAACAAATATAGCTACACTTCCATCTCAGTGGACTCTGCACAAAACGGTGCGTGCGGGCCCCAGCGCGTGCACGAGCTGGTCAAAAGAGTGGGTGGAGCTCGATTGTGCTTGCTCTGGCTCAGCTAAAGTGCGTTCGCGCTGAAAATGCACCTTTCCGATTCCAGCACCGTATGCGGCCACGCTTGGTATCAAAATATAGCGCTACGCACTCCGGTTCGTTCAGCGCTTACCCCGACCATGAAATCCGCTGCGTATATAGTAGTACACACGTTATGCATAATCCCTCTATACATTTCTATGGCATACTTTACATACGGCGAATAGTACCGCCCTCCTCATTATCTACTTCCGCATGCATTCTCAGCGCGAACGTATATATCTATCTATGCACTTTAGCTCTGCAGGAGTAACAACCCCTGCCCTTTACACAGTCCCTCGATCATATGTACCTGACTTGATCAGAGATTTTGCTAGTAATGGCCGAAGGTAATTGGCCAATAATCTGGAGTGGCCTTGATCGCTAACATAACCTTATCCAATGTACACAGCACCGACGACGGGTGGCGAGGTCCTGACTCCAAACGATGCCGTGAAAGTACTGGAGGAGCTACTACCAGCACAGAACGAGTCCTACGAACTGGGCTTGAGGCTGAATCTAAAGCCACACGATGTAAAGAGCATCCACGCAACCGTTTCCGTGCCGCGCAAACGCCTTCTTCAGATCGTGTTGGAGTTCCTGAACCAAGTAGAGCCGAGACCAACCTGGAGAGTCATTGTAGATGCCCTCAAAAGTCCTGCAGTCAATCTTCCTCAGCTAGCAATGACTTTGGAGGCAGCTCACTTTCCTGACACTACACCAGTGGTCTTGCCTAAAGCCAGTGGTAGGGGTGTTCGAGATTCTTCTCCTCAGTTTTCATTACTGTCTCTCTCTCTCTGTTTCAGTCTCTTCCTATTCCTCTCAGAGTCCGGCCACCTCCTCCCAACCAGGTCTCTCCTCACCTGTCCATGCTAATGACTTACCTAACTTTGTCCAAATTTAGTCTGTGTGTTGGCTCTCAACATAATACCAGTACATATTTCTGCAAGACATGCTTTTGCCATGTTTCCACAGGTTCTGGAGCCTCACCACTCACTGAAGTGGACTATCAACCAGACCTACCACAACCAAGTTAGTCCACTACTGTAGCTGTTAACAAGTGTAGCAGGGCCACTCCGGAAAATTTGTAATGCTCGATTTTCTGCCAGTCACATCACGTGCGTCATTAGTCATTATCATAAGCCGCAATGGATAATGTTTTAAGAGGGTAATATACTGTTATAAGCTCACAATGAAGAAAATGGAATCTTTCCAGCCGTATTAGTCAGTACCCATATGGCAGCTGCCATTGGACCCAGCAATTGTGGTGATGGCCATGCAGACAAGTTGAACCACACCCACTCAAAAATGTCATATTTATGTAATAGTAGTAATGAATAAAAATTTGCATTCTTTATACATATAACCCTTTGGGCACCATTTACATATAATATGCACAGAGCCTCCATAAGTGCATAAGAATTTATGTATGGCTATAATACTAGGTTATACAGCAATTTCTGCTTATTTAAGGAGACACCTGTGGCGCCCAAAGGGTTAAGGAAACAATGAATCTTGATAGAGTGGCCATTAATGTACATTGCGCTCAAAGTATGTATATTCATAAATATTTGTCCATTCCTTCATCTCCAGCAACTGGGGATACAGTGACTGAACTCCAGCATCGACCAGAGTCACCTCAGCCTAGTATGTATGCTCCACACCTGTCTGGGATATTGCCATGCAGACAAGTTGAACCACACCCACTCAAAAATGTCATATTTATGTAATAGTAGTAATGAATAAAATTTGCATTCTTTATACATTTAAGGAAACAATGAATCTTGATAGAGTGGCCGTTAATGTACATTGCGCTCCAAGTATGTACACATTGCTGTGAGTGTAAAAACGCTTCATAAAAATGTGTCTATTCCTTCATCTCCAGCAACTGGGGATACAGTGACTGAACTCCAGCATCGACCAGAGTCACCTCAGCCTAGTACGTATGCTCCACACCTGTCTGGGATATTGCCCCTGATCCATAATTCATGTGACCATGGTCTGTCCAACAGGTCCAATGACCACTCAGTATGTCCAGGCCAAGATTAGAAGGTTTGAGAAGAGGTTCAATGACCTGAAGAAGGCTGCCAGGGGGTGCCTCGAGAAACGCAAGATTTCTGTCAAGCAAGTTGTTGACGCTCTCACATCAATGCCTGCAGATGACATTGAGGAACATGAACTGTTTCTGAAAGACAATCTGAGTGATCTCTACCAGTCTTTTGACATTTCGGAGCTGATTGGAAAGTTGAGCTTACTGCAGTGGAACTACTTGTCGTACCAGTTGCTGGACTACCTGATCAAGGAGTTTGGTTTGGAGGTGGGGAGGGAGATGGAGGCCTACAAGCTAGATCTGCAGAGGTTCCGCCAGAAGACGCCACTAGCTCTGTTCTGCCAGTGCCAGAAGAGGAGGAGAAGGAAGCCGTCTGAGGAATTCAAGGAGATGGTCGCCGAGTTTGACTGGCCACACGAAGTTACACTGGAAGTTGTGGAGCAGTTTCGACAAGAGTATGCCTATCACAACAAACTTCGAGACTGTGCCATGATAGTAGCTGAGATTCGTCCAGGCTCCTTCGTCATCACCTGGTTCATACCAGAGTCCATTGTCAAGAAACTGAGAGAAGACATCCCTCACCGCATCCTCAAGAAATACACTGTCGTTAGCCTTGTAATTGCAGGAGTCAAGGTTTATCCACCTCCTCAGGTGAGATTTATGTTGTACAGTATAATAGCTCCTTTTGACACTCTGTGTGTATCTTTAACTGTATGGCAAAAGTCAGCAGCAGTCTCGTCAACTGGTCCTGGACCTTCAGCTGGTGGTGCCGCTGTTTCTGTTGAGAAATCACCTCCTCAGTATGTTTCTATACCTAGTGATCAAATGTTGATCTCCATTACCACTATACCATCCATCTAGACCCAAGACAGAGGAGTCTCATCTCTCACCAGAAGAGGATTACCCCTTCGTTGAGAAGCCATCACAGGATTTCTTCTGTCCAGTGACGTTGGGTCTGCTGCTCCAGCCTCACCTCACGTCATGCTGTGGTAAACATTTCTCAGAGGAGTCTGCCACCAGAATACAGGGAGAGGGAGGACCATGCCCACTCTGCAAGGCTCCTGACTGGAGTACCTTTCTGGACAAACACGTCCGTCGACAGGTGAAGGAGCTTCATGTGTTCTGTCGTCACAAGGAGAAAGGCTGTGGGTGGAAAGGAGAATTGTCTGACTTCACACAGCATGTCTGGTCTTGCCAGTTCAGGTATTGTAATGTCAATAACTTTTTTAAACAACTTTTAGCAGTAACTTTCCCTATACAGATATATACAAGTCTCTACCCAGGTTTGTACAACAGGAGGTTGCTAGTTTCACCCTAAACCTCTTTCTATGTACATTTATTGACACACTAATATCCACCATTGATCTCATCCTTTTTTTAATCCATCATTGTGTCTCTCCCTCTCCCCAGGGAAGAACAGAGCTCCACGATGCTGCTGAGAGAGGAGATGTGGAGGCGGTTGAGAGACTCCTCTCCACTTCTGTCAATATCAACTCCAGGACTGAGGATGTGAGGCTCTCTACTAGTGAATGTGTAGTCTCATTTCTGACTCAGTTCATTGACTGCTGCTCCACTGGTCTCTGTATCACTTGCAGGTAGGAGACACTGCTCTACTGGTAGCCTCTCGTAGAGGTCATGTTGAGGTTGTACGTCTGTTGCTCAAGGCTGGGGCTGCAGTCTTCATTCCTGACAAGGTTTGGAGTCCATGTCATGTTCTACTGTATTGTTGCCTGTTCCAAATGTCTGTACATACACAGTGTTGCAGGACTCCACTGTACTGGGCTTCATTCTATGACCACAGAGCTGTAGTGGAGCTACTAATAGAGAATGGAGCTGATGTCAACATCTGCAATGAGGTATATATTCTATACCATGATAGTCAGAGACCTCTCAGTATTATACAGTCTTAGCCTATAGTGAGAAGTGTAGACTATAGACTTGTGAAGGTTGGACGAGTGAGGAGGAGACCTGACTGAGATGGTTGTCAGGTCTCCTGGTGTCCAGGAGGGAGATGTGTGGTCAGTAGTGAGTAAAGAATGTCTCATTTGTTCTCTCTCACCAGGGGCGTAGGAACAGGGGGGGCTACGGGGGCCAGGGCCCCCATTTTCTGTTGTTCGTTCGTAACCACCTTATCGTCCATGCCTGAGGGCGAACGCTGCCGCGCCACCAGCGACCGCTTTATGCACACGTTCTACGTATAATATACACGTAATACGTACATGTAGCCTCGCGGGCGGGAGGCGTGGCTCTGCATGCGCAGTTCGCCGAGCGTTTGCACTTTAGTACTAAATTTTTGTGGCCCCCCCCAATGCAAAACACTTTCCTACGCCCCTGCTCACTGTACAGAATGGTCACAGTCCACTCTTTATTGCCAGTCAAAAGGGACACACTGAGGTGGTGGATGTTCTGGTGAAAGCTGGAGCTGATGTCAATCAGGCAACAACCAAGGTATGTGAAGAAGTGAAAAAATACAATTCATGTCTGCACTACACGTGCACACATGACAATAACCAAATAAACTCTTTCCTTATGGTACCGAATGATCTAGTAGGTAAATGTTGTCAACATTGTTTCTTGCAGTGTGTTGTAATTATGATGCAGTGGTACCAGTCCTCCTATTGGTGGTCCTCCAGCACCTCCTACCCACCTGCCTCTGCGTCTTGCCTCCCTTGTAGACTCAAAACAAGTCCGCGAAATGATCAAAATTATGTCATCTTGCAGTACGTAAGAACCTGATCCTCCCTGAACCTGAACCCGATCCTCCTTGTAGCTAGTGAAAACCCTTTGTATATAGTAGCCAACATCAACCAGCAGAACAAGGTGGTTAGCTCTGTGCAGTCTAGAGATAGGCAAAATAAACTCATAACTAGGTAGCAAAATTATTAACCATCTGATGTATGTGTCTGATCCCACAATCGTGGTCTAGTTTCCCGTTGTCCCACTCTACTATCAGCTAGGTATAATACACAGTGTAACATTTTGGGAAACACTACATCCCATACTCAGCCTTCATACGGAACTTACTTTTTTCTCTTGGTTTTCATGAGAACATAGCACTTTTACGAAAGTGAAAAGCCATAGCTACCACGTTCTGATGCATTGTATGTCTGTGTGTTTGTTAGTGAATTATGTGTCTGATCCCACAATAATGGTCTAGTTTCCCGTTGTCTCACTCTACTATCAGCTAGGTATAATACACAGTGTAACATTTCAGGAGATAGTGTAGGGTTGTTAATGTGTGTGTTTGCAGTAGAGAGTCTCGCTAGAAGCTGTATATTGACAAGTACAACGAAGGTTTCATGGAAGTGTATGTACGTAGTAGTTACATTACCTTTTGATTCGTGAGATACATGGGCCAACAATCAAGGAAATGCAACACATTTGCTAGCCGGGGATCCCCTTTCATCATCGTCTTATTTTGCAAACACTTCCCTTTGCCTGAAATTAGAGTGTTTGGTTGCTAGGCAATTGCTAACAAATAACCATGCATGTCAGCAAACACTGTTGGTACGTAATTATGTTCCAGACTGGAAGTAAACCCAACTTCCTACTCTCTCACTGTACAGAATGGTTTCAGTCCACTCTATGTTGCCAGTTATAATGGACACTCTGATGTAGTGGAGATTCTGCTAGAGGCTGGTGCTGATGTCCATCAGGCCACCACCAAGGTATGATACCAGGGGCGTAGCTATGTAGTTTCCGGAAACCCCCCTTGATCGCCGAAAAGTAGGCGTGGTCTTAATTGCTATATATATACGTGCGCGTGCCCTCGGACACTTGTGACTCGCGCTGCGAGATGAGAGATGAAGCGCCTGTCCTCTTTCGACTTTGTACATCAGACTGCCGGTGAGCAATGCCTAACTGACACTCAGTGACCTTTATTCACTTTTCTCACATGAAAATAGTCGTCTTCCACCCGCGTTGTTGACACACCTCACATGTGCGCCAGCAGCAAGCTTGCGTAGTTACGCGCATGCGCAATGATGGCGGGAATTTCGGGAAACCCCACACCTTGAGTCCTGGCTACGCCCCTAGATACACAGTTGTTTTAGAGCTAGTCAGCTCATTTGTCCACCAACCATGGTGGCAGTGGTGTAGCCAAGAGCTGTGACTATACCTCAACACTGAGATTGGTATGTAGCTACAACAAAGCTGTCAGGCATTTTTGTTAGTGCAACATATGTCACTAAAACGAGTGTAAACCTGCGATGCAATTTGCGTAATACACAGATGCATGAAAGAATTTATGTGTGTATGTATGTGTCTGATCCCACAATTATGATCTAGTTTATCGTTGTCTCACTCTACTATCAGCTAGGTATAATACAGAGTGTAACATTTTTCAGAAAAACTACATCCCATACTCACTCTTCATACAGAGCTTACTTTTTTAATCTTGGTTTTCGTGAGAACGCAGCACTTTTACGAAAGTGAATAGCCGTGGCTATCATGTTCTGACGCATTGTATGTCTGTGTGTTTGTTAGTGTCGTGTCTCATTCCCTATCCTGTAACATTACTACATCCCATACTCACCCTTCATACAGAATTTACACTTTTTCTCCTTGTTTTCCTGAGAACGCAGCATTCGTACTCTTTTATTATAGCGCCATTTGCACGTCTGTGTTCTGACACATTGTATTGTCTGAGTATTGGTTAGTGTCGTGTCTCATTCCCTGATCCTCTGAAACCACACTCTCATGTGTCTGGTCCTCACTGACCTGCCAATGCTGAACTCAACAATTCACAGTTTCTCTCTCTCATCAGGATGGTTCTGTTCCTCTGGGGATAGCTGCCCAGGAGGGACATACTGAGACAGTTCAGAGACTGTTGGAGGCAGGAGCCATTGTCAACCACCAGAACAAGGTTGAGGCTTTTGGTTGTCAAAATCAACATACTTTTTCCTACGTGCATCTCTGCACACAGCATGCACACAAGTGCAAGTTTTGTGTGGTTGATGTCATGTGGGAAGTCAGGGTCTGAGTTATTGTTTGACAAATACTTCCAAAACAACTGATAGTTTCCCAGGGATACATATTTCAGTTAATGGACGGGGCTCCATTACTTCCAGGGTTTAGTCCTTGTGATTGTACTCCGGGCAGGAGGGAGTGGCAACACCCTCCTCTCACCCAAGTGCTCTGTGGGTAATTAGAGGGGAGGAGCCATGTGTAGGGTGGTTAAGTATTATTTGGTCACAATGGCAGCCGAGACAACCACTACTCAGGAAGTGTGCCACTGTCGCTTTTTTGCAACAAACTAATTTAATACTTGTATATATAGTCACTAGATAATGCTTGTCTCTTTCATAATGTTATAAACACTTCGTATTGGCCATGATGGTCTCTATTATAATATCAACACAGGCAGGAACCACAGCCCTGCTCTTTGCAGGATGGAAAGGTCACTCGGAGTTGGTGAAACTACTGCTAGGAGCTGGGGCCAGAGACATTCCTGATAAGGTAGACCACTGAGTCACTATGATGTGTAGGAAGAGTGTAACCACTGGCTGTAGGTAGACACAAGTGTGTGTCATTCTATATAAGGTATTTTTTTCAAAGGAAATAGAGGTGTGGCACTGTTAATGCAAAATCGCTGTAGGGGGCTGGCTCCTACCGAACTGTTTTCTTCTGTTTGCTAATCATAGTAATGGGAGGTGTCTTCATGCATATTAATCTGACACCTGTCTAATGGACGTCTATTTGTCTCTACAGTTTGGAGAGACTGCTCTGAGCCTGGCCAGAGCCAACAACCACAATGATGTGGCTTGCAGTATCTACTGCAACACCAGCCAAAGTGAAAAGTAGACACTCTAGCACTGTTACAAAAACATACGTAGTTATTACATAATTATCTTGACTCTTTATAATATTGTGTTTAGCCTGTTTAATATGTATGTAGATGAAATAATTATTTCATCAATCTTCTACCACAAAATTCCCTCAATTATTATCTCATAATACTATCCATGACGACCCATTGTCAAGAAAATACATGATGCCAATGGCTAATGCATGCACAGAACCGGTTTCACAAGAGCATGGGGCAAAGTTTAATTATTAGTTTATCATCTCTGAAGGAAATTCAGCTGGTGGAAATCTCTCAACACCTGTGTGTAGCTATAAGCTGAAACACATTCAACTACTGTATAGCTAATGTCTTTCCTTGCCTTTAGCCAAAACTCCCAATCGATACAGCAACGCTTCATGCCTATTTGTATGAAACTGTAAGCACTTCAGGCACAGGATTCGGGTCGGTAAAAACAGTGTTTCACTAACCACAACCTTGTGTTATGAATATCGTCAAAATTGACTACATACTAATTCAGAGTTCCACAAAGTTGTGACTCTATCTTACAATCTCTGTGCAGATAAATCAGGTGGATGTTGATGCTATATTATACAAATGGCACAATACTAGGGACCACAGTGATAACCAAACAACTGGTAAATAAGTTGGGTTTCAATCAGGACAACACTGTCTATTTGTTTACAATAACAATAATTATAACACATGACTATGTGCCAATGACTTCATCATCAAAGAAAGGTGGGACAGGAATAGGGTTCCCTGGAGCCGGGGCACTGTTTCTCTACCATGTGAATGAAGTGGGTGCTGGACTCCACCAGGAATGGGTGGACATCCCTGAGAACGCTGGCAGGATTGGGAGACTGTAGCTGAGCCACGAGGTCCCTGACCACTGTGTAGCGCAGGAAATACACGGCTTTAGCCGAAGTGGTGGGGTTTATGAGTAACCTTTTGAGAGTTGCAGCCTCTAGTGGTCGTCCCTGTGTCGACAGGAGATTCAGAACAAGTCCAGCTAGCCAGGACACTTGTCACATTAATTGGTGTTACAGAGGGAGTTACCCAGGGACTGCACCTATCTATTGTTTATGCACATCTAAGCATATTAAAAATCTCATGGGGGGCTTATAGTTAGATTCATACCATCCTCATTGATGTTGGAATTTAACAAATCAACAAAACTGCTGAGTCCTCGAGAATTCCTCTGGCCCAGTGGCACATGGGATGCCGACAGACACCTGTGTGGGTTGCCTACCAAGAGAGAAGTGTTGCTATATTTTTGCTGTATCTTTTCATTTTCATCTTCATGTATGGATCTCTGTATGCTCTCTACCTGTCTGGGGTATTGCCACAACTGTGTGGGAAAAAATGATTTCTTCATAATGAAGGAAAGATACAGGGATGGGTTGATGCACCAAAAATGACTAAAGTCGGGTGCATTGCACATGCGCGGTACCACTAATTGATGGGGTGTCCCGCTAGCCTAGTAGCTCGCGGAGAGTCTGACAGAGGCTAGCAACAGTAGTAATCAATACGCATGCGTAACACTAATTGATGGGTTGGGCCACTCTACGTGGTCTGGGACTGTGCCGGTTTCTCGCACTCGAACTCTGTCGTTTCAGCCATTTTTTTCATGCGCTTGTAGCACTGAAGCGTTTGGTATCGCTCTTAGGCCCCCTAGTGCGGGAATAGTCGTGGACAGACCGACAGACACACAGACACACACACACACACACACACACACACAGACCAACAACTGTATGTTTGAATGGGCCCGCCCAGGCATGACATGTATACAGACAAGTTAAAAAACATGTAGGAAGCATAATAGCTACATGACTGAAGAAGGTGAGGTCCATGGTAGTCAAAGAGTCAAGTAATGTGCACCAGGAGTTGTCACTTTTTGTGTGGTTGGTGATGACAGAGTAGGTTTGTCCAGATCAGCTGTATTGTACAGAGGACATTTGCTGGGTGAATGATCTGGGTAGGTAATCACCCTCACAAGGTTCTTCATCCCCTTGATAACTGAGGGGCTGTGATCCAGTGCAACTTCTTCCACCCAACACACTCGGCGATCTTGTACACAAACTGATGTTTGGAGACCTTTTGTAGCAGCAGCAGTTGGTCTTTCTTGTTGATGATCTTTTGT